GGGTAATAGGGATGGGTGTGTCAGAGGCGGTGCGGTTGGCGCAGGACAGAGCAGGGTTTAGGGCTATTGTGCATAGGGTCCCTATGAGTCGGAAACAACTTGACGGCACATAACAACAACAACAACAACATACACATATCACTGAGGAATTCCACTGAATGATCTGTTTACTTATTTCATGTTTGTACATTGGGTAATCAGACTGCTATACTTGTCTCTCTTAATAGTGTCTCCATAATGAGGCATACATTTTTTGAAAATAAGAGTATAAAACCTTATTTCTCTTCTTGTTTTAATGCCCTCATCTGAAGAGTAGAATCTGCAGAGACTTTTCCCTGGAATGTTTTTTTACTGAATGCAAAACATTATAAGAATCTGGCCTTGAGCTTTGTCAACAGCCAGTGGAACCACCTGGACACACTGCTCATTGCAGGCTGACTCGTGGCAGAGGGCATTTCCGTGGCTTTGGTGCTTCCATGTGATTGTCATACATCTAATCTAAGTGAAGCACTTCAGTCTGTCTGTCATCCTCTAGAAAGTAAAGAACTCTTAAAAAAAAGTCATTAACATTTAAAATGAAAACTAAACTGAGCACCCAGAAAATTAACAGTCCAAAGAAAGAGAACAATGACAACAAACAAAAACATACTATCCAAACTAAGTTCAGATAGCCTTGGTGGTGAAATTCTCCGTGCCTAAATTTTGGGTCATTAGACTTAATATTAGGAATTTCAAGAAGTCTCCGTGAGATCTGGGGTTAGAAATATTGCTTTAGAAATTCTGAGATGAAATGAGGATGTTTCTTTTATTTGGAATTTGTATGTGAGATCCATTAAGTGACTATTAAGGTTTCTGAAATGATTTTTAGAACATATGCTTGTCCTATGTGAAACCTGTGCTTGGACCAGGAGGCAATCGTCGAACAGAGCAAGGAAACACTGCATGGTTCAGAATTAGGGAAAGAGTGTGTCAGGGATGTGTCCTGTCTCCATACCTTTTCAGTTTACATGTGGAACAGGTCATCCAGGTGACTGGACTTTATCTGGGAGGAATGTGACATCAGAATTGGAGGAAAACTCAACAACAACCTCTGTTGTTCAGATGGCACAACCCTGCTTGCCAAAACAGGAGGACCTGAAGTGTTTGCTGCAGAAGGTGAAGGACTGTAATCCTCAATATGGATTGAAGCTAAACATCAAGAAAACAAGGATTTCCACCACTGGGCTAATTGACAACATCATGATGGGTGGAGAAGAGATTCAGATTGTCAACAATTTCATGTTGCTTGGCTCCATAGTCAACATTCTTTGCACCAGCAGTCAGGAAATCAAAAGGCAAATTGCATTGGGAAAATCTGCTGTCAGAGACCTCTCCAGAGTGCTAAAAAGCAATGATAGCAAAGTGCACTTGATCCAGGCCATGATCTTTGCAATTACTTGTTATGCATCAGAGAGCTGGACAGTGACCAAAGATGACAGAAGAATTGATGCCTTTGAATTGTAGTGCTAGAGAAGAATATTCAAAATACCATGGACTGCCAAGAGAACTAACAGACTTGGGAAGAGGAGACCCAGGGGGAGGGCCTATTAGAAGAAAGAGTAAGGCAGTGTATATTGCAGAGTCCAAGTCAGAATGATGCAGTGACACTCAGTGTTTCCACTGGATTGGACAAAATGTCATCCTCTAGATGTGTGCAGTGACTCCTTGGTGGGTTATATGTGTATGATGAGAAAAGGAGAAGGAAGTTTGGAGAATGATTCTCAGATTGGGTTACTTGGTGAAAAGAGAGGCTATCAACTGAGATGAAAGGAAGTGGAGTGAGAACAAGTTTGGAAAAGAAACCTAAGAATGCCGTTTAGTGCAAGTTTGTTTAATTTGAGATTTCTATAAGATGGTGAAGAGAAGATACCAGATAAGAAAGGACTCACAAATTTTTTCATTTGGAGGATTTTACACTGGAGAAATGGGCAATCTCCTCTTGTTAGGATTTACAGACATGGAAGCCCAGAGGAGGGTCACGGTGACTCAGAATTGAGTTCTGTGTAACTTTGTTTACTCATTGGATAGATTATCTTGTTTGTGAATTTAAGCTCCAAAGACAATAGGGGTCAAGAGGGAAAGGAGGATATGCCTACCATTCTC